TCTAATTCTACTTTATTTTTTAAAGCAAAAGGTACAAATCTAGGCTTGTAAAATTTTGGGATACAATCTTTTTCAACAAAAAGTGTAATTTTGTGTTTTGAAAAAGTTCCTAGATTATTGTCAAAGACCTTAGAGTACTTTTTACATAATTGTACAATATCATTAGGTTGATCATTACCTTTTATATAGTTAATAGTATTATGATTAAAAAATATGTTAAGTTTGGAAAAATCTTTGCTACCTAATAAAGGAGGTCCACCTTTTTNCCTACCTAATAAGGGAGGTCCACCTTTTTTTACAACATATAGTGTAATTATTCCTTTAACATTATTATAATTGAAACTTATATCTAGTTTGCCCAACGGCTTAAAATATTTACCTATATAATCTTTTAACATAATGTCATTATCTAATAATTTAATATAATGAAAATTTTCTAAGTAACAAGATTCATTTATAAAAGAATAAAAACTTCCAGTATCTATTTGAAATTTTAACTTAACCTTATCTAACATGACATTTATTTCAATAGGGTTAATGTCATTTACATTGTTTTCAGTATTTATTTTGAAAATCTCTGATTCATTTAAAAAAATATTATCATTTTCCGGATCAGTATCACTATTATTATTATTAATAAAGTGTGTATTGAAAGATTTATTTTTATACTTAACAATATTTTTTTTACACATAGGGGCTAGGTGCCCTTTTAAATTACATTTGTTACAAGTATATTCTTTGTACTTACATTCTATTGTCTTATGATTAATACGACCACAAACTTGGCATTTGGTTTTGTTGTTTTGAGCATTTTGATTTCTGGCAGTTGTATGGTTTGATTGATTTTTAAATCTATGGTTGATCCTTTGATTGGATTTGTTGTGTTTGACATAATTTATTTCATTTACCTCTTGTTGGTTATTCTTGCCAGCCATTTCTTTAGCTAAAGCGATATCTATCATTTTTGCTAAGGTGGTATCTTTATCTTTCGCATCAACTTCAAATAAACGTTCCTTATAGTTCTTTTCTAATCCTATAGTGAAAATGTCACGAAGGACTATGTTTAGCTCACTACCAAAACCACAAGGCATTGCTAATGTACGTACTCTGGCTGCCCATTCTGATATTGTCTCCGTTGAATATTTTTCAGCTCTGTAAAATGTATTTCTAGCTGAAAAATACGACTTGACTGGAGTGAAATGTTTGTCCAAGAGTAGGATTAGTTCTTTGAAAGTTTTGCATTGAACTTCTGCCGGAACACATAGACTTTCAAGTAGTGATAAGGTGTCATCACTTAATGAGGTAATCAGCATAGCTTTTTGTCTATCCTCTTCAATAATATTACCTACTATAAAATTACTATTTAACTTTAATTTGAAAGTTTTCCATTCATTTGTACGATGGTCGAAAAACATGTGACCAAGGCCAATATAGGCCTGTCNAAAAGACATGTGACCAAGACCAATATAGGCCTGTCCATTATTGCCAGTAGCTGTATTTCTGGTCAACATCGTATCCTCGTCGCCAATTTATGTTCTATATTTTGATAGGACTAATATATATTTTAAATACAAATTTCATTTATTTTAAAATGAATATATTTTATTTAATCTAAAAAAAGCTTTTTCATACATCTCGTGTGTTCTTCATATATTTAGGTTAACATGAACATTGATAACTCTTAAAACTATGATAACACACACTGATATTACAGTGTAGTATATAACATTTCCCCACTAAAGATAATTAATTAAAAATACAAATTGAATTTGAAATGTACATCACAAATATGATATGAAATGTGTATACATATATATATAAAATTTTTAACATTAAATAATTGTGTTAATTCCTAAATTTAAGAGGTTTTATTATTGTTCTCTTAGGTCTTTGTTTAATATTGTTTCTGTTATTACTATTTGGATTATTAACTATGTGACTAGATTGTTTAATAGTGAGATCAGATAAAAAGGAATCATTGTTATCAGTGATAGGAGTATTTTCTATGAAAGAGGAATTGTTTTTTAAAATTTGATTAGTATGACGTTTCCAAACTAAATTATCATTAGTTGTCACCTCATATGTTCTACTGCCTAATATTTTTGAAATAACAGCTGAGATCCATTTATTAGATGGTGATCTATAATCACGAACTATCACTTTTTCATTTACTGTGAAATTTACATCTCTCTTCCCACCATTTATTACTTGCTTAGTTTGGCACTTTTCTACCACATCACTTGTGCTTGATTTGAGTAAATCAAAAACAAATCTAATTGACTTTCCAAATAAAATTTTTGTANGTTTGAGTAAATCAAAAACAAATCTTATTGACTTTCCAAATAAAATTTTTGTAGGTGTTTCTCCAGTGGTTGTATGTGGAGTATTTCTGTACTGAAATAAGAAATTATTTAATAAGTCAATTATGTCATTCATTTGGTTATTTTTTATGACTTTTTTTATGAAATTTTTGATAATTTTAACCGCACTCTCTGCTGCTCCATTACTCTGAGGATGGTACGGAGCACCAACTAAATGATTAATATTGTATTTTCTTAAATAA